GGCATCCAAAGCCAAGGAAAGGTTTTGAGGAGAGGAATGACTCAGTTGGATGAGGTTTAAAATGACTCTGGCTGCTGTGGGGACTAAGGATGAGAGACTGAGCAGGCAGAAGGTTCCCAAAATGTGGGGGCCTAGGACACAGTGCTCAGTCTGTATGTGCTGAATGAAGGAGCCCAGGGCTATGGGGTACACAGGTGCCTCTTCCCAGGAGAACCTCAAGGACATAAGATGTATACTTCTCCCACACTTCTGAGTCCACCTGACAGATGCACAGTCCTGGGGAAACCCATCTTGGCACAGTCCTAGGATCTGTGGCCTGTGACATAACCCTCTCGGCACACTCCTGCAACACCCTCAAGACGTGCACGCCCATGTCCGCGTGACTGGTCCTCATACGCCACTCCATCCTGAAATGCATCCCCCTCACACACAGGCACACTCCCGTGTCCACGTGACACACGCATACCCGCCTCCAAACACCACACACGGCTTCCCGCGCACGTGTGCTCCCTCGGAGTCACCACTCCTGTGCCCACCCGGCCCCAGAAACCACAACGCCAACCTCCGCCACTCGCCTCCCCGCCCCCGATCAGGGGAAGACTGCGCAGCTAAAGCCGCATCCGTCCCATTCATCACCCCCGCCCCCAGCTGTGGAAGGAAGACTCACGGGAGGGCCGTGGGAGGAGCGCTCCGCGGAGATCCACACGTGGGTGCACGCGTCTGGGCCCACTCGGCATAGACACGGCCTCCACTAAGAACCGGGGCAGGGTAGACAGTGCGCGGGCTGCGGACGCAGTCCTAAAGACAAGAGCTGGGGGAGGGACGAGGATGGCAGGGCGCCCACCTAGATGCGGTCCTGGCTGCGGGTTTAAATAGAAGCAGGCTCCACGAGACACCCCGTAGACCCAGCTCCGCAGAGAGAGGGCAAGGATCCCTGAATGGGCAAGGTCCCAGCTGTCCTCACAGTCACAGCCTTGCAGACACCCCTCTCCCCAGCAGGCTGGGAGCAGACGATCGTTCAGGTGTTCGAATTCCGGTTCCCTGCTCCAGGTACCCTTCTCACCGCCCCCTACCTCCGCCGTGGGGCACCAGTCTCTGAGGCCCGGCGGGCGGCCAGGCTCGCTCCCGCGGCGCGCGTCCCGCCCCGCCCGCCTAGCCGGGGCCGGGATCGCGGAGCTCAGACCGCCGGCGCCGCAGCTCCAGGCAGCGCTCGGTCCCCCGCCTGCCGCCGCGCCCGGTCGGCGCTCATTGGTCGAGCTATACTGCCCCCCCCCAACACTGCCCAATCAGAGTCCAAGACTCTCGCCCCGCTTCTGAAGGGGAGGGGCCGCGGCGGGTGGTGGCTGGGGAGGGGCCCTGTTGCGGAGCCAAACCGCGTCACGCCCCCGGCGCCCACAAATAAGCCGCCCGGGTCCCCCGAAATCCCTCAGGACGTGTCATGACCAGTTAACTGGGCCTGAAGGGTACGGGTGCTTCCCCAAAAACGCTTTGTTCCCTCTCCCCAGTCCTGGCCTGCAAGAGCAAGAGCGCCCCCTCCCTCTGGGGGTGAGGCTTGGTGCGTGCTAGGGAGGGGCAAGGCGAGATTGGCGAGCAGAGAGGTGGCTAAGGCCTGAGCTGAGGAAGAAAGGCCTTGAATGGCATCCTCAGGAGTTTAGCCTTCTGCTAGATGGGCAGGAGGTGGATAGGGAGGCCAGAAGGAAGTTTAGTAAAGAGTGCTAGGGTCCAAGTGGGATTCTTGTTTGGAAAAGGACTCTGTAAACAGACAGCAGAGTCCTTTTCCAAATGAAGGGAACCCAACAGGACCAGGTGACCTTTCCAATGGTTATACCTGGGGACTCAACCCCTCACCTCTTCCCCAGGGAGCTCACCAACTCTTGGTTCAGTGCTGCTAAGTTTGTCACTAGTGAATCCCCACAGCACTACTTGCTTCAGAACTCCATATCATTACCCCAAACCTGGCTTCTTGTTTCCCTGTCTCAAACTGGAGCCAGGAACCTGCCAGTCACTTACAGCTTGTTTCCTGCCCCAACCAGTATAGCATCAGCTTGGAATCTTAAATGTATAATCCCTGGAATCTGCCCATTTCTCTCCACCCTTCTGCCCCTCCCTTGGCTCAGGCCACTACCACTGTCTTCCACCTGATTACTGCAGCATCAACCTTGCTGGCTTCCCACCACCATCCAGACTCAGTCCCCACTTGCCTTTCTTCACCTGGCAGCAGAACAGTCATTCTGAAGTACAAGTTTAACCAGTCAGCTCCACCTGAGGAATCTTCCATAGCTGGCCATTACCCTGAGAATAGTTCCAGTCAAGCCCTCTATAACCACACTCCTAACCAGCTGCTTGCTTAAGCTCTTTCTGAGCTCAGTTCAATGCCCCTTCTGTCAGGACACCTTCCCCATGACCTCTTCACTGCCCAGCTTGGTTAGCATCCCTTCTTAGGAACTTTATTGTACCCTCCTGTTTGCCTGCTTGTTCCCTATCTGAACCGGGAGCTTCTTGAGGGAATGGGTTGTGCCTAATAAATCCAGCACAATTTGAAACACTCAAGGGTGCTCAATAGATGTTTGATGAATGAGCAACTAATTGGATACGGCAATTAGGGAATGGAAATATGGGGCACAAGTTCAGGAAAGAGGACTGAGCCAAAGAGACACCTTTTGGGGTTTTTTTTTTTTTTTATGGATGCTGGGGATGATCAAACCTAGGATCTCACTTGTGCTAGGCAAACTACCACTGAGCTATACCTCTGGTCCCTCAAAGAGACAGGTTTGAGAGTCCTCAGAAAGGACCCGAAATTGTTAATAGAGCCATGGGAAAAATATCACAAGCACAAATAAATCAAGCACGAAGGACAAATCACTTGCTTTTAAGGGGGAAAGAATTCTGTACTAGGTAGAATCAGAATTCTGACCTAAGTAACAAATCCAAACACATAAGCCTCAGAGAAGACAGGCCCGGGCTGATAAGGCAGCTCACTTCCACAAAGCCCTCCCAGGTGTGGCTTTCTCCACTCACTGCTCCGCAATCTCTAAGAGTGGCTTTTGTCCTCATGGCTCAGAATAGGGCTCCAGCTATCACATACATATTCCAGGTAGTGAGATGGAAGAAAGGACGAAGAACGGAAAGGTTCTGCACCAATTCTCTTTGAAGGAAATTTCCCAGAAGTTGTCATATGACACTTCCCCATCTACCTCATTACTTTGAACTTAATCACATGACCAGACCCAGTTGCAAAGAGACAGAACCGGAAATGCAACTTACATGAATGCCACCTACTAATGGTGGCCACATGCCCAACCAAAAATCCAGATTTGTATCACCGTAAGGAAAATATATATCCAGGGACAACTGACTGGCTCCAGTATCCAATGGGTGGATAAATCGAGGGAAAGAGCACTACTGTATGCCAGGCTCTGTGCTACAGAGCCAGGAACCTGCTCTGTGCCTAGCACAGAGTCTCTCTTACCCCTACCCTAGCAGAGGCTATTATTATCCCTGAATCACAGAAGAGACTTGGAGAGTTAAGCAACTGGCCCAAGGACACCTAGTGAGCTCTGGCAGAGCTGCATTTGAAGCCCTGAACATCAGGCTGCTTGGGAAATCAGGACAGGGTGGATCCAAGGAGCTGTGGAGGGAATCTTTAGACAAAGAGGACTTGGGCCATAGCATCAGATGCCGACAGGCCAAGTGTCTGCTTGGATTTGGCAACAAGGATGCTGCTAGTAACCTTGGCAAGGTTATCGAGAAGTGGTGGGGGTGGAGGCCAATTGCAGAGGGAAGTGCCATCTAGTCTTTCTGAGAAGGTGGTGGTAAAGGGAAAGTGGGCAGATCTGCAGGGAGTGAGGGCCTGGAGGAGGGAGAAGAGGGGAACAAATCCAGAGATGGTATAGGGAGGAGGCGGCTTTTGCCAGGAGATCTCTGGGCTGGTAGAAGGCTGGATGCAGAGGAGGAGCCCTTTTCTGCTCATTCAGGAGGGAAGGGAGCAGGAGGTACAAAAGCAGATAGGGAGGAGAAGAAAGGGAGGGTGGAAGAAGGAGTTCCAGTCCTGTAAGATCTGCGTCATGGTTCTTGACTGGGGAAGAGGGCAGAAGGCCAAGGGTCCAAGGGAGAGGGGAGGGGCTGTCCAAATTGGTAGCCACTAGCCATGTGTGGCTATTTAGGTGAATTAAAAATAGCCAGATGAGGTGGCATTGGCCTATAATCTTAGCAACTCAGGAGACTGAGAAGGAGGATGAAAATTTGAGGCCAGCCTCAACAACTCAGTGAGACCCTATCTCAAAAATTTTAAAAATATCTTAAAAGGGCTGGGGATGGAGCTCAGTGGTAGAGCACTCCTGGATTTAATCCCCAGTATCACAAGAAAAAATAATAACAAAGTAAAGACTGCCCCCAGGGTTGCACTGGCCACATTTTAGGTGTTCAGTGACCATCTGGGGCCAGTGGCTACCATAGTGGACTCACTATGGTAGAATGTGTCCATCATTGCAGGAAGTCCCATATTGGATAGCAGGAGATCTCTGGGCTGTAGAAGGCTAGACCCAGCAAGATGGTGTGGATGCTTTGAGACTCTACCTGGCTGTGAGTCAGGACCTGGAGGGTCCACAGCAGGGCCCCTGGGGATCCTTCCACTTTGTTTACAGTCAAGGCCTTCCCTCCCTCTTTGGGGTTCCCTAGGTAGCCATCCCCTTCTTCATCCCCCATTTCATGAGGCCACTCCTAGGGTTTTCTACTTGTCCCAGTGTTAGGCCTTTCACAGAAGCCGTGGGAGGAGCTTGTGGTGGGTTAGGAAGAGTTGCAGGGTTTGGGGCTGTGCCAGGATAGTGGCCCATGGACAGATGTGAGCTGACCCTGTTAGGCTCAGGACATGGGAGTCAGCTCACCACTACCCACTGGCAGACCCACAGGGGCTTCCGTGATTGCTCAGCACAGCCTTGCATCCCACAGATGGGCACACTGAATTTCAGAGAGGTCTGGAAAGAAGGCAAAGACGGCAGAAATTCGTCCTCATTCCTTTTATTGTACTCCACCCCTCACTTTTCCCAGACCTTGTGTTCTGACAGAGCCAGGGAGGCCGTGGGAGCTGGAGTTGGCCGTGGGCAAGGAGCCCAGGATTCGGCTTAGGCTCCCATTCCAGCCCGAGGTAGCTGAGTAAGGATTTGTGGCTAGAAGGGATGTCCTAGCCTGACACACTAGGGAAGAAGCATTTCCCCATGGAGGTGACACAGCATGGATCATGTGTCTCTGCTTGAGGGTGTAGGTGTGTCAGATGGTTGTGTTTGCAGGGCCCCAAGCTGTTCAAACACAGGGCTGTGTGCATGTGGGTGGTGTGTACATGAGGGCCGTGTACATGTAGGTAGGTGTGCATGCACACGGGGGTGTGTGCGTGAATCACTGTGTGGCACGTGAACACACTACACACTTGCTGAGGGTGTCTGAAACCCTGCTCAGTGTCCATACCTGCCAGTTGGTGCAGACCCCGTCCCAATCAAGAGCTCAGAGTCAAAAAATGCTAAGACAGCATTTCTTAAATGTAGGTCCCAAAATGTCCTTGATTCTTGCTATCAACACAGATCATTGTGGCCAGCATGGGGGTTTCTGGTTCAGGAAGTCTGGGGTGGACCCAGGCACCTGCATTGTCAATATTCTCCCCAGGGAAATCTGAGGCCAGGCAGAAATAGGGCTGGAGCACACCTGTCTGACAGAACTTTCATCAGTGACAAGCACTGTCCAACATGGCAGTCACTGGCCACGTGTGTCTACCAAGCAGTTGAAATGTGACTCGTTCCATTGAGGAATTGAATTTTTTTATTTTATTGAATTTTAATTCATTTAAAGTTAAATAGTCACCTGTGGCTAGTGACTGCCATATTGGAGGACACAGATCTAGAGAAATTGAGGCAGAAAGATGGACAATGAGGGCCCCAAGAGATAAGCACAAAGCTGGGGTACCAATGTGTGAGGATCCCCAGGCTTTTTCGACCAGGAATGACTGAGACTGCAGTGGGGCTTTCTTGGGGTGGGGGGTACAGAGTTGGAGCCAGAGTCCTAAACTGCACAGGTCTATCCTAAGCTGCTGGTAAATGGTATCTGTTTGGCTAAGAGGGTAGGACACTGCATGGGAGACCCTTCTGCCCTTGGCTGGGACCCACCAGGGCCCCAGCCCAAGGCCAAGTGCTGCATCCAGTCAGGAGTCAAGGGCTCAGGGTCAGGAGGTCCTCATGTTCTCCTGCAGGCCCAAGGTGGAGCTGGTGGCTGCTGGGTCATGCTCGCCCTATATATGCATTGAGGAGATACAGGTCAGCCCCAGAAGTTGCTGCCCCCTAACCCCCACCCAGCACAGACACACAGGCCTGAGGTCTTTGAAGGGCCCAATTGAAGGAGTTCTCTTACCGCCTTTGGCCCCATGTCCTCAGCATACTTGAACTTCTTCTGCTTGTAGTAGTGCCTCTTGGGCAGGATGTGAAGTAGCAACAGATCACAGAGAACGGTGGCCTAAGGGCATGGAGTGGCAAAAGGAACAAAGGAAACAGATACAGAACCTGGAGGAAGGTACAGGACTTCCCACATCTCACTGCTGTCCTTGTCACTAAGGGCCCAGGCTGAATCCTGCATTCTAGACCTCAGTTTCCTGGTAGGGCACCTCGGGACCTTCAGGGAACCAAGAAAGCCCCATCCTACCTCTATCCTACCCCAGCTAGGCCTTGATGTCCTCAAATATACTGTGGGTGATATGGTGGACAGCTTGCTCAATAAGGATGGACAATTACAGTCAAGTTTGAGGATGAGGGACTTGCTACTGCTACTGAGATACAGAAGGGGGTGGGGGCAGACCCCAGCACAGTGACCCAGTGATCCCAACACTTACCACCCCGAAGATGCCAATCCCAGAGCCAATGGTGGTCATTGTAGGGATGATGTCAAACTTCCTGGCCTGGTGGTAGGGCCCAGGGAAAAGAAGGGTTAACTGTCAGAAGGCACTCAGCTGGAAAAGGCCAGGCTTGGGACAAGGGGCTTCCCGGCCCTCTCTTCTCAATCATGACCTGTCCACTCTGCCTGGTGCCCAGGGATCTGATTCATCATGGGGAACCAGCTGCTGGTCAGTAGACCCAAGATTTTTTTGGTTTTGTTTCATTGTTTCTGGTGCTGTGAATGGAACCCAGGGCCTCACACATGCAGGGCAAGCACTCTACTTCTGAGCTACATTGCCAGCCCTCAGACCTGTGTTTGCCCTAGATTCTGCCCCCCTGAACCCAGGGACATTATGAGGGAGGCATGGTCACTGTCTGCCTGGACACCACCCATGCCCCACCTGTCATTAGAAATAGACCTGCTGAACAGATCCTGTCCTGTCCAACTTCTTATCATCCATAACTACAGATACCCAAAGGGCAAGATGTGTCTCAGTGGCCATCCCCTCATACAGGACACTCACCTTGCCATCCACTAGGATGTCAAAGCGAATCCCAAACACCTTGAAGAGGTGACGGCGGTTGGTCCCATTCTCTACGTAGTGCCTGGCAAACCTTGGGGAGGGGGCGAGGTAGCAAGAGAAGGTGATGGAAAATCGTCTTGGGTGTCAGAGCTTCAGGGACACCATAGTCCACAGAGGTCCATCTCCACAACATTTCACAAAGGGAGACTCACAAGCCACATTCTAGCAATGCCACACTCAGCCTCTGCCCTAACTCCTGCTGCCAGTGATTTCCCCAGGCCTCAAAGGGACTCAGACCAAAGGGCAGGGGACTCAGGCCTTCAAGATCTTGCTCCCTGGGCTGGGGTTGTGGCTCAGTGGTAGAGCACTTGCCTAGCGTGTGTGAGGCACTGGGTTCAATTCTCAGCACCATATATAAATAAATAAATAAAGGTCCATTGACAACTAAAAAAATATTTAAAAAAAGATCTTTCTCCCTGCTGGCTTCCTGGTTGGCCACCCCCACAGGATGGGAGCCATCCTCTGCTGCCCTCTGGGAACCCTTGTTCAGCCCCATGGGATTCTGGGAATAGAAAAGCCAGGAGGACCCTAAGGAAAGATGTGGTCCTGGCAGGCACCTGAAGTTGAAGCCTTCAGACAGTTTTTTCTCCCCATATAGCCCATGGAACTCATAGATGGGTTTGCAGTGTCGAATGTGCCAGTCCAGGTCACAGTCCCAGTCGATGGTGATGCCGACCACCCCACCCTGTGAAGGAACGAACACAAGTGTTTAAGATCTGGAATTTCAGGACCAAGAAATTGTCTGTCTTAGAGCTGGTGCCTACATTTACTCCATGAAGAAACATTTTTTTTTAATATTTTTCTTTTAGTTGTAGATGGACACAATAACTTTATTTATTTATTTTTATGTGGTGCTGAGGATGGAACCCAGCGTCTCGCACATGCTAGGCGAGTGTTCTACCACTGAGCCACAACCCCGGCCCCTGAAGAAACATTTTTTGACTGGAGAAAAGACAGTGGGGTGCTGCTTTGGGGTGAAGGTCCTGTCACCCTCTCTAGCTTCACCTCCTACTCATCACATTTCACACTCTAGCTTTCTGATCATTTCTAGAATATATCAAGTTCTTCCTACCTTAGGGCCTTTGCATATGCTATGCTTCCAGTTTTCCTCAAGGCTGGATTCTGCTCATCCTTTGGTCATTTGCCTGACAGCATCCCTGACCACCACACCAATATGTCCATTGTCATTCCTTCCTGCTGTACTCTTTGGGTTGGCTTTTGGAAACTTTGACACATTGTAATCGTTTGTTTATTTCCTTTGATCATTATTAACCCCTCTCCTCCAAGACTATAAGGTCCAAGAGGATGGAGCTGCCTGGGCATTTGTCACTGACTTCTGAGTTTCCAGCACTCGTCATGAAACGGGAGGCAAGCAAATAGTTACGAATTAAAGTGAATTAAAGAGTGAATCTGTGGAAAGAGAAAACTTGAGAAAGTGAAGCTCTTCTGGGCCAGGCAAGGAATAAGCTGAGCAACAGGACAAGAGTCAGGAGGGACAGAGAAGAGGGGGCCGGGAGCTGAGCAATATGGCAGGAGGCTACAACTGACAAATTTCCAATGGGGAGATTTTTAGGAATAAGGAAGAGTTTCATTCTATTTTGCTTTTGGTACAGGGGATTGAACCCAGGGGCCGTCCCCTACTGAGCTACACCCCAGCCCTTTTTATTTTTTTAACCTTGAGACAGATCTTGCTAAGTTGCTGAAAGCTAGACTTGAACTTATGATTCTCCTGCCTGAGGGTCCATGGACATTGACTACAGGCAGCGCTTCAGTGCTGGCTCAAGTTCAGTTTTTAGGTCATTTGTGTTGCTTAAATATAAACTCCAGCCAGGCATGGCAGCGCATGCCTGTAACCCCAGCAGCTCAGCAGGCTGAGACAGAAGGCTCAAGAATTGAAAGCCAGCCTCAGCAACAGCCAGGCGCTAAGGAACTCAGGGAGATCCTGTCTCTAAATAAAATACAAAAGAGGGCTGGGGATGTGGCTCAGTGGTTGAGTGCCCCTGAGTTCAATCCCCAATACCAAAAAAAAAAAAAAAAATTGTAAACTCCAGTGGCCTGTGGGTGGAATCTGACCACGCCCATTGTTAGTGTAGTATCCGCTGTGCTTCTGCCCTACAGTAGCTGACCTGGTTAGCTGACCCAGAGGCCATGCAGCCTGCAAAACTGACAATATTTACTAAAGGGCTCTTGAAAGAAAAAGTTTGCCCGACCTCTGCTGAAGTCAAGCATGTCATGAGTGGGGTTCTATGGTTACATCACAGAAAATGGACAGATTTCCATTCCTAAATAGGCAACTGCAGGAATACTAAGGAGCACCTGAGAACAGGACGTAGGCTCGCCAGGTGCCAGGCAGTGCTGAAGGGCTGGCCCAGGTTTGCACTCGAGACAACCCCAGGAGACTGGCACTATTAGAGTCCTCACGTAACAGGTGCTAAAGCCCAGGCTCACTGAAGTTAAGAGACTCATTGGAGATCACACCGCCTACTAAGGAGCAAAGCTGGGATTTGAACCCAGTCTCCCAGGTCCATGTCTATTATAAGAGACTGCTTCTCTCAGAATACCAGGGGACTGTGAGTATCACGGGACACAGATTTCTTAAAGTCATGGGCTATGGAATTTATTCTACTTTTTACCTAAAATTTTAAAAATAGCAGGACCCTGCAGGTATGGCTCTTTTAGAGTGCTTGCCTAGCATGCACAAGGCACTGGGATCCATTCCCTGAACCCTGCAGAATAAAATAATAGCAGGACATCAGCAAACATCCAGGTGATGTCTGCCCACATCTCTTTATTCTGGGCACCTCTTCTGAGCCGTGTCTAGGCCAAGCCCTGCTGAGGACACAGGCCTGATCATCAGGGGCCCAGTATTAGGGGACAGACTCATACATATACTGGGCCTATACCAGGGAGGATTAGGAAGATGAACTGACCCTGAAAAACCTTTACTCTGCCCTGAGCCAGTGCTTCCCTCTGCCTGGCACCCCCTGCCATACCTTGACAGCCAGCCTACTGAAATCCTGGCCGGACTCCTGGACTATGTAGCTGAGGTTGAATAAAGGGCACAGAGGGTGCAGCTTCTTGTCGTAGAGGCAGGTCTTCATGTAGCTGGCATTGACCTCCTCCACTAGGTTGTTCCTACGGGGGCAAAGGGCATTGGTAGCAGCCATGTGCCAGCTGGGAGGGTGGCCACCCTGCCCTGTAGCTCTGGAAACCCTCCAGGGCTTCAGAATGCCCCTTCTGCTAACCATCCCAGGAACCCCAACCCAGGCTTCCCCCTCTAGAACCAAAGCAGCCTCAATGGAGGCGGACAGCTGAAAGCATCCCAAGAGCCCGAAGAGCCGCCTGAGCGCTGCCCACGGTTCCCACGCACCTCTTGACCTGGAAGCGTGGAAAGCTGATGCTGTTCTTGATGAAGAGGGTGAAGTTCTCGGCCTCTCGGAGAAGGGCAGGGCTGGGGGAGACTGCACTCACACACCGCCCCTCCCCAGGAGTGCCCCGCACGACCCCAGGGCTGGGGACGGAGGACACCCAGCTGCTCCCACAGCCTGGCATAGGTGGGGAGGGGCTGGGAGGGGGGGCTTTGGCCCGAGTCACATGGATGTGGTCAGGACAGGGTCAAAAGAATGCTGACCAAATCCATTCCAGATGCAGTTGCCCCTGCATCTGGGCTGGGACCCTGCCCCCAAGTCCCTGGAAAGACAGGGCATTGGTTACCTTGGGATGTTGTCATCCACCTCCACGGGGCACCAGCCAAAGATCTCACACGTCTGCACAGTGCTGTTGAAGGCCACACACTTGCCCGTGCGGATGCCTAGGGTGAGGGAGGAGCCCCTGGGTGCCCACTCCAAGCTACGGGTGTAGAGGAGGCCTCTCAGGTCCCTCCCATGGGAGCTCCCTGTGATGGGACACTGACAAAGAGGACTATGAGGACAGAAATAGGGCTGGGTCTGGGGCAGGCAGCCAGGCCAGGATGACAGGAGAGAGAGAGCAAGACATGGGCAGGGTGTGGAGAGAAGCGGGATGGAGGGCACAGGCCCTGGAGAGGGGCCCACAGAGGTACTAAGAAGAGGCTGAGCTTACCTTGGGCCTTCCTCTTTGCCTTCCCTGGGGTACAGCCACTATTGTTCTTACACGTGCCCCCTTCGGGGTTCTGGGAGAAGAGAAAGCTGCTGGGCCCAGGCCTCTGGGGTATGGTCCTGAGAGGAACCCCTCCCATCCCTGGGGCCTTTGGCAGGCATGGGTGGACTCTCAGAATCTTGGGGGTGACCCGTGCTCACAGCCTCTTTCTCCCAGTCCCCACCACTCCGGGTCCATGCCCAGCTGCCTATCACTGATGTGAGCTGGCAAGGGGTGGAGAGGGTGTGGGGGAAAGGAGGTGGTACTCAGACATGGCATCCTGCTGGGCACACAGCCAGGTGGAAGGCTTGGCACTGCCAATGGTGGATGGCTACTTTGTGTGACTCTATCTATGCCTGACATTCTACCATTGGGTGACTGCAGGAAGTCTGTCGCATGTCATCTCCAGTGCCCAAGGGGACTCCTCTTCCATGTTATTTTCCTTTGTGGGGGATCCAAGAAGGGGGCAAGCAGAAATCCTCACCTCTGCACAGTAGTTTTGAGCCTGCTGGGGGGTCATGATGAAATTGGTCATGACCACGAAGGAGTTGTCCCCCTGGAAGTGAAGAACAGGGCTGGGATCTGGCACAACAGCTCCTAGAACCCAAACACGGCCCCTGTATGCCCCTGGAGCCCAGCAGCCTCCACGCCCCATTATGTCACATGGGGTGATAGTACCAGGCTCACAGTTCAGGAAACTGAGGCCTAGGGAGAGGAAGGAGCTGGGCTGGTTCCATGAGAGGGACAGAACCCACCAAGTCAGGCCCTGAGGGTGGAAGGTGTGGCCCCGAGGTGGCTCACCTGTGCTGGGAAGACGTAGTCGGCCTGGTCCCAGACCTGGAGTTTGCTCTGGAGCTCAGTCACGGCCAGGCCTTTGAGCTTCACAGACACACTGCTGATGAGGCCCCCTGAGGTCTGGTAGCCCTTCTCATACACAAATACCCACCTGCAGGGACACAGGGGACTTATGGTCCTGGGCCACAGCTGGGTGGGCCAAGGATGGCAGCAGCTCTGTGGGCTTCTCTCCTTTCTGGCACCTGCTGGATGTGTCATGGCTTTCTGTTTGCCCTCCCCAGATGCCTCTCTGATCCACTCTCTGCTTCAGAAGCTCTTGGACCGGAGGCAGAACAGCCCACCTGCCATCCCCTGCTGGCCTGAGCCTGAAGTTCCACCATCTTTTCAGAGCATCCCAGGGAGGAGACCTTCCAGATTCCAGGAGCAGGGTGTGCCTGTGGGTCAGCCCTTGGGACCTCCAATCCTCTGTCCCAGAATGTCCCTCCTTTCCTGTGCTGTGCCTGACACAGCATGATGGCTCTGAGTCTGGCCACTGGTGTCCAGTGGCCTGGATTTGAACCCCAGCTCCACTCCTCATTGGCTGTGTGATTTGGGGTAAGCTATCCAGTCCTCCTGTGCCTCCCCTTCCTCCTCTGCAAAACGGGAATAATAATAGTGCTTGTAATTTGTGTTAGATGAGTCAATGCATAAAAAACACTGGGGACTGCTACAGAATAAAAGCTATATAGACATCATTATTATTATTATTATTATTATTATTATTATTTGTCGTTGTCGTCATCATCATCATCATCATCATCATCATCATCATCTCAGCCAGGCTGGGATCCCCTGGGAGGGGGAACAGTGGGCATGGGGACATGACCCTTTGAAGGACTTAAAGAATCCAGCCCCCTAGCCTCGCCCTTATGGCTCAGTCTGGAGGTCTCCTGGTTTTTTGGAGGGAGGTTCTGGCCTTCCATTCCCAAAATTGAGAACCACTGTCCCTTTGTGCTGACACTGTTAGTCTGAGAGGTTGGGTGAGGCTGACCTCCCTCCGAGCCCCAGGGGTGGGCACATGACCAACACTCACCAATCAATATTTCATCTCCCTGGCAGCAGTGATGGATGGCATGTGACCAGGGGAGTATCAGCAATGAAGCCAGGATTCAGGGGGAGAATTATTGGGAAAGAAATACCCTCTCTTCCCGGGGACTAAGCAGGGTGGAAGCAAGATCAAAACCTCAAAGTCATCTTGGCTGCTTCAAAGAAAGAGCAACCTTGAAAATGAAGCCACCTTTGAGGAAGGCTAAGACAGGAATTGAAAAGGGACAGATTCCTGACAATGTTGTTTTAGACCTGGATCCAGCAGGCCTGAAGCACACTTGGAAAAATCTACTTAAGGTCTGTTCAGTTGCATAAGCTGATCAGTTCCCTGCCTTTATGTAAACCAGGTTGAGTTTGGTTTCTGGATAATGCTTCTCTCCAGGAGTGAGGGTACTGTGTGGATGTGTGCATGCGTCTGAGAGAGACCCGTTAGAGTACGTAGCTGTGTACTTCCAAGAAAACCTGCATCCACCTGGAGGTAGATGTGTTATGTCTCCTCCGTCCCTCACCTGTCAAGCTCACCTCTGTCAAGCAAGCTCAGGCCCTCTACTCCCCCATCCTGTTCCCCAGAGTTCAAGCCTGATGACAGAACCTCCAGGGCTCTCAGTTCCAGTGAGGCAGCTCACCAAGGTCCCTCCTGTCCCCACACAATGCACCCTTCCTTCTCCAAATCCCTCTCCCAGCCTGCATCAGCACCAAGCTTCTCCCGACATCCCCCACTCCACTCCTGGCCAAGCCTAAGCGTGGTCACTGCTGCCCCCTGCAGGTCTCAGACTGCATCAGGTGAGGCATGACAAAGGCCCTCCAATAGCGTCCTGAGCCGAAACACTGCCTCCGGCAGCATCAGGAAGAAGGGACGTCACCCACCCACCCTCCTTCAGCCTTCCCCTAGGAAGGCCTCTGGCTCTGCACCCAAACTTGAAGGAGCTGTTGTGGAGGATGGGGGAGCTGCTCCCTATTTTAAGCCCTCTTGCAGGAAAGTCACTGGCTTCCCTCTGGGAGCCCCATCCCAACATCCCAACGGTATTTCTCTTTTTGCCTAATACCAGCTCCCCACATGGTAGATGGGGAAACTGAGGCATGGGGAAGTGCCCCTCCCCAAATTCAGAGGCCAGGCAGGAGGCAGCTCCCGGGCTCTGCTTCCCTCCACTGAGCCACACTGGCACCAATGCGACTCCCAGGAGCCGGGCCAGGTTGCAAGCTGCAACGAAAGCAGAGTTTCCTCTGTCTGCCCCTAGGGCTGCTGGTCTTGAGGGTCAAAAGAAAAAGTCAACTCTGGCATTAATGACCTCAGTTCTGGTAATAATAGAATGACCATGGCGCCAGCCCTGCCCCTCCACAACCATGCCTTGACCTGGCCTATGGTCACCACCCTGAGAAGGCCACCAAGGAGGTCTGAAACCAAAGACACTGGCACCTTCAGAAATTCCTTCCCTTCCAGAAATAATCTTTTCCAATTTTTCCACCTCTCTGGGGGCTCTCTTCTCCAGCTTTTCTTTTGGTAGAAGAGGAAATGGCGATTGACTTGGATTCCCATAGAAACCCTGCCTTTTATCAGCTGTGTTGCTTCAGCCTACAGACTAAACTTCTCTGAGTCCTGATTTTCTCCATAAAACAGAGGTGATGGCACTACCTCAAAGATGCTGTTCATTCAACAAATATTTAGCGAAGCCATGTACTCAGTCCTGGGGTGGGCCCCTGAAGCAAAGGCATGTAGGTAATTGGGGGAAGTTTCTATGAGTTCTCATTAAGGAAATGAGCTTAGGGTCTGGCACAGCAGAGACTCATTAAAACTAAAATCTCGGACTGGGAGTATAGCTCAGTGGTAGGGTGCTTACCTAGCATGTGTGAGGCACTGGGTTCGATCCTCAGCACCACATATAAATAAATAAAGATCTATTAACAACTAATAAAATATTTTTAAAAAACTAAAATCTCTTATTCCCACTGTCTCTGGTCCTCCTTCACTCGTTTCCTTTCCCTGTGCAGCCATACTCTTTCCCTGGCTTCCATTCTCAGTTGTGGGAGAGCCCTGTGTGAGCTGTCAAAGACACGTGACACCTGGAATTTTGTTGTCCCCAGATTCCTGTCTCCAGATCTCTGCTCACCCCAAGATTCAGTTCTGCACATCCATTTAGTCGTTCAACAAACATTTATGTTTCGAGTCCATATCGTGCGCCAAGTACTGTCTAGGCAAAAATAGGCAAGTGAACAAAATAAAAATCGTATACTCAAGAAGCCTATGTACAAGTCAAGGCTCTAGTCAATTGGTGACTCCCCTCCCCAGACATCTCACAGGTACCTCACCTGCAACTGGACCCTTTGCAAAACAGTCCTTCAGTGACTCTAAAAGTTACACACCGATTCCATTTGACACAATCCCACTAGTAGGTACCTACCCAGGAGAAATAAAAACATATATCCAGCCTGTCACAAGGGCTCACACCTGTAATCCCATAGACTGGAGAGGCTGAGATAGGAGGATCGTAAGTTTGAGGCTAGCCTCAGCAACTTAGTGAGACCTGTCTCAAAATAAAAGATAAAAGGGCTGGGGGTTTGGTTCAGTGGTAAAGTGTCCCTGGATTCAATCCCCAGTACCCCCCCAAAAAAAATCCATGTTAACACTAATACCCAAATATTTATGACAGCATTTTTCTTTTTTCTTTTTTAAAGAGAGATGGAGAGAGATAGAGAATTTTAATATTTATTTATTTTTTTTTTAGTTTTCGGCGGACACAACATCTTTGTTTGTATGTGGTGCCGAGGATCGAACCCGGGCTGCACGCATGCCAGGCGAGCGCGCTACCGCTTGAGCCACATCCCCAGCCCATAGGACAGCATTTTTCATAAGAGCCAAGAAATTGAAAGAATCCAAATATCTGTCCCCAGATGAGTGGTTAAACAAAACGTGATATCTCCAATGGAATATTATTTAGCCATAAAAAGGAATGCAGCAGAGGCACAAATTACAACCGACATGGATGAACCTTGAAGATATTATGGTAAGAGAAAGAAACAAGACGTAAAAGGGCATGTGTCATGATTCTATTTATGCAAAATGCCCAGAATAGGCAAAGCTGGCTGTGAGAAAGGGAAAAGGGGGGTGATTACTAAAGGAGTATAGAATTTCTTTTTGGAGGAATGAAATGTTAGAGAAATTATAGTGGTGCTGGTGGCACAACTTCATGAATATTTAAAACCACAGAATTGTATTTCTTAAAGGGATGAAGCGAGGATGTAGCTCAGTGGTGGATTGCGTGCTTAGTACATGCAAGGACCTGGGTTCGATTCCCAGCACCTAAAATTAATTAATTAATTTAAAGGGGAATATTATGGTATATGAAATCAATCCAAATGCAAAGTACTAACTACAAAGTACTAACCACAAAAATTCAATTGGCCCAGCCAGGCACAGTGGCCCATGCCTGAAATCCTAGCGACTTGAGAGGCTGAGGCAGGAGGATAGAGAATTGGAAGCCAGCCTCAGTGATTTAGCAAGACCCTGTCTACTGGGGAGTCTTAGCTCAGTGGTTAAGTATCCCTGGGTTCAATCCCTGAGACCAAAAATAAATAAATAAATAAATAAATAAAAATTCAACTGGCCCAACCTGAACTCTTTACCCCACAGAAGAGCCTGAACCAAGTGTGGGCACACAACCAGGCCCCTCCAATCAGGACATTCCATTTTCTTGACCACAATGATCAGTTCTTGGAGGGGCACATGTCCCAACCCCCTCCCCCCTAAGAGTTGGACCTGGGATTTTTGCCCGAACCCTGAAGGAAGGAGATGCTCTTGCACCTTGGGAGTAGCTAACCTGTGGGGATGTCAGCGTGGATCTGCCGTTTTGCCACCATGAGGATAGAGAGCCTGCCTGATGCCGCCATGGTGCCTGAGCACGGTGCCTCCTCAGAGGAAAGCAGCACCAGATCCTGGATAGCATCATTTGAGAACCAAAATTGGACCAAACTGGATTCCTCACTTCCCCCATAGAATTTACCCCTCTGTGTTCTTGTCATGGAGGGTCCATCCAGGCCTGAAGTCCCAAATGATCTTTCAATTATATTATATAAATAATATATCAATTATATATTATTTATATAATACCCCACCCTTGCCAGACACGATCCCAGTGGCTCGGGAGGCTGAGACAGGAGGATCACAGATTCAAAGCCAGCCTCAGCAAAAAGCGAGGTGCTTAGTGAGACCCTGTCTCTAAATAAAATACAAAATAGGACTGGGGATGTGGCTCAGCGGTCAAGTGTCCGTGAGTTCAATCCCCTGTACCCCCCCCCCCAAAAAAAAAAAAAAAACCCAAATCATTGTGCCTTCTAAACCAGTTTGAGTTTATTTTGTGAGAACTAAAGTAGTTCTGGCTAACCTATCCTCAGCTCTTCTCTTTCCCTCTGCCCCCACTGTGTCCTGCCTCAGGCCCCTGGCAAAGCACTCAGAATGGAGAAGATGCTGCAGAAATAGCCCCTGTGTGACTCCTTGCGACCATAATTTGTATCTGTCCTTCTCTCAGTTTTGTACACTCTGTGATCCACTTTGTGATCTCTAAACACCTGTTTTTTGTTTTGTTTTGTCTTGCTTTGTTTTTATGGTGCTAGGGATGGAACCCAGGTGTGCTTAACTAGTGAGCCACATCCCCACCCTTTTTAAATTTTTATTTGAGACAGAGTCTCACTAAGTTGCTTAGGGCCTCGCTAAGTTGCTGAGGCTGGCTTTGAACTCATGATCCTCCTGCCTCAAGCTCCCAAGCCATTGGGATTACAGGTGTGCCCCACCATGCTTGGCTGACCACTTGATTTTAAGAGCTCTGCATAGAGGTACAAGGGACAAGTGAGGACTCTAGTAAGAAGAGACCCAGAGGGGCCAGAAAGAGAGCCAAGACCAACTCTGCCCAGCCTACAGCTGCAGGCCTTTTGTCCATGGCTGGGTTCACCACTGGGTCATCTTCTCCAGGGAGGCCTCTTAGGAACCCCTCCCCAAGAGGCACTTGCAGATCCTCTTGGGGACCCTCCTGTGTACCTCAGCCAGCATCCTTCTCCTCCTCCAGCCAGACCTCCCTAGACAGGAATGTCCCAGCATGCCCCTAGGACATACCTGCACAGTAATGATACCACATACCTCCAGTGACAGAAATTTCATCTCTCAGAAAACAGCAGTATCTGTGAGACCACCTTACTGTAAGCCAAAAGAGGCCCAGCCTTCCAGACCCTGAAGCCCACTGGTCCCCTCCACCTGCTTGGACCTCCTAGAAGAGCATGCCCAGTGGAGACCTGTGGACCTGTTCCAGTTCTCAGCTGCTCAGCTTCTCTGCCTCTGCCTCAGTAACTCTATCCCTAAGGTTCAGGGTCTCCTGCATCTGAGTTGTGCTCCAATGTTTGTCCCCTGTTCAGCTCCGTCTGTGCCTACCCACCCCCCTCCCATGCTTTGCCACCCGTGGGACCTGGGGATCTGAGTCTCCTCCCGTGTTCCCTCCGTCTGTCCTGCAGTGCTCATGGGACCACGCACTCAGACAGAAAGGGAGGGTGCTCAAGCCAAAGCTCATCATCCTCAGTTAAGAGAGAGTCGTCCCCTCCAGCTCCTGCCCATGGGACAGTTGGGAAACTGAGGCCTGAGATGCCAAGACTAAGTCTAGGCTGCATCAGGGCTTCAGTCTGCGGCTGGGACCTCCTGGATGCGAGCACTGGGAGGTGGCCAGATGAGGGCGACAGAGACAGCAGGAGCCGCAGCCCAAGCGAAGCAGAGCTGAGGCGTGGTCTTGGGGGCAAGGCAGGAATGGAGGGCAATCTCCGGTGTTTCAGTGCCCCTCTCTGCGGGTGCTTCCTTTCCAGGATATTTGACTGTCTTTAGAGCCATGCACCTGGTTCAGATCCTGGTTAGCCTCTTTCTAGCTGAGGGCCAGCTAGATCCCTGTGCTGGTGAGCCCCACGGACACTGAGAAGGACCATGTTTATTTGAAAACTGAGTAGACTGTCCTGAGAGGGAAGATAGCAAAGGAAGGAAGTAGTGAGATCCTCATCACTGACAAGTATCTGTTCAAGCTTGGATGGCAGCTGGGGCACACCCTGCAGTGGGTACATATACTGTCCCTCAAACTTTGACAATCTGTGCCTAACCCACAAGAGGAACCTGGTGCTGCTTACAGGGCCTGATCTGAAAACAGAATGGGGAGCCCTCGGGCCAGAGTGAGGGGACCTTCCCCCAGCCTTTTCTGGTGAATGTCAGGCTGGACTTTGGGGAGTGATTTCTCTTCCCTGGAGGGTCAGGAGTGAAGCTGACAGTGGGCTTGTAGATCTGTCCGTGCCTGGTGCTCTGCCATCAGTACCCATTAGAAAGTTCTGCAGCGGCCTTGTGATGCTGGGAAAGAAGGGCAAGCAGAAGCCCGGGTTGGGGCGGGAGGTCTAAGTCCTAAGCTTGGCCTTGCTACTGACTTGCAGTGTGACCTGGAAACCCCTCGGCTCTTCTCTGGTCCTCACTTTCCCTTGCACGCTCAACCAATATTGAAGATGTCAAATTGGTTTGTGAACAAGAGGGAGGCAGAGGCCAAAAGACACCAGGGGGTCCTGGCCTCAGCCCCATCTGACCAGGTCTGAGACTATTTGGGATGCCCGAAGTTTTGGGGGGACCAGAACTATGTGACCACTGTTTGGGCCTCCGGTCAACCCACCCTGGGCCCCACTTGGCAGTATAGAGCCACAACAAAAATGAAGGATGGGTAGATCCCTCAGAATCACACAGCACAGTCAGGCTAGGGCTTCTGGGTCCCCAGGTCCCCAGCAGGAGGTACCTCCTTCAGGGTTCCAGGGGCTCTAGGAACCCCCTGCAGTCATGTGAGTGGATATGATATACCATACACAGGGGACAAGCATCAGTCAGACTCAGACACAGCCAGGGCACATACCCATGGGCACCCACCCAGATACTTGGAACATGGACACGGACACAGAGCTCTGGGTAGGACACGTGCATCTACATGACACAGGCATATGTGCCCCTGCGGCACACATGTGCAAGCTCCTGCCAGACCTGTCTTAACTTCTAGGACAGCCAGACTGACTTTAGGAAAATGGCCTCTGCATGGTCCCCAGCCCAGTCAGATGACAGAAGGAATCCCACCTGGCCCCACCCTGTACCCTTGGCTCAGTAGGACAAGTCCAGAGATGCCCAGAAAGGAGCTGAGCTGTCATCCCATCCCCGGGAGCAGAGCTGACCTCCACCATTCAGATACCAGGTGTTCAGAATTTGAGGGTTTCTCTGCTCCCAGGGCCTCAGATATCTTAGGATAACCCTAATTTAGACAGGGAAGGTGGGAGCAGAGCCTGTCCATCTCTGGCCTGTGAAAGAGGATATGGCCTCCGTCTCAGTAGTAGTGTCTGGTTTGGTGGGAGGTCAGAGGTAGAAGGAGCCCTGGCCGTGAAAGCTACTCACCACTTGAAGGAACTCAAATCCGAGTCAGTTCCTCAGAACCTCCATGTGCCCCAGGCAGGGTGACCCCTCCTGCCCCAGCATCCCCATCCCGACAGTGAGTTAGCAACATTTTCCCTCTAACTAAACGGCAAAGCGGCTGACCAGGAGGGCTTCCGGATGGATGGAGAGAAAGAGGGCTCCTTGGCATCAAGGAGAGCATCCCAGATCTGGGAGGACAGAGCCAGGCTGGGGGCTTCTGCGTGAAGGTGGTGGTGAGGGGTCCCAGACTCACCCAACGACGTAGATAAAAACCACAAGCTGGATCAGCCGGAAGACAATGCCCACCTTCTTGTTGCGCACCAGCACCATTCGGGGGGTGTCATACTCGAAGAAAAAGGCAGCCAGCTTATCCTGCAGCCTCCGTGCCATGGTGGGCCAGGTTGGGGTTCAGGACTGAGCCCCCTGCACACCTTTGCTGTTAGGACACCCACGTCTACAGCGGCAGAGCTCCTGAGGGCTTCTCACCCCCTTAGAGAGAGCAGAGCAGGGTAGGTGAGGCCAGAGGTCAGGAGTCAGAGGTCAGCTGGAGAGATGCATGGGTTGAGAGGGAGAATCCTTGGGTGCTCAGAACAACTCTGGGCCCCTGGCAGGCAATGGACTGCAGGCCAGCAGTGCCCGTGACAAATAAATTCCCAAAGATAGACAGAGGCGGGGCTGATGGGGCCACCCAGGCCCAGCCCCACAGCCCCTCATGGCTCCGCCTGGGCCCTGCTGGGCCTCCGGAAACAGAAGCTGTTGGCCGGAAACCACCAGCCACCAGTCACACAGGAGCAGAGATAAATCTATCACTTCCCCCAACCTACCCCCAGAACCTGTCAGGACAGAGCTGGAGGATCTGGCCAGACCCTGGGGGGAAGCTGGGGTGGGGTCAGACTAGAACACCCTCAAAGTCAGAGACCATCCGCAGCCCCACACAATGTCACCTGCACACTACCCCTAGGAGGGCAACTCGGTCACTGGGGCCTATGGGGAGAAGCAGAGAGCAGAGGCAGTTCCCGCTGCCTGACACTTGCTGAGCCTGCCTGCCCTGTCGTAATGCACCACCTGCTACCACCTGTCCCTGTGCTGAGCCTGCACTGTGCCCAACCAGCTTCAGCTTTAGGCTGGTACCTCCCCTCACCACCTTCCCCTTTCTTTCTGTCCTGCCCTGGCCATACCTCCTGACCTCTCCACACCCCGATTCGTGACCAGCAGATGGAGAGAGAGGGAGGCAGATGCCCAGACAAAGCAAGGACCACCCTTGGTCACACATTGCCATGGGGCCTGAAGTCCCAGCAGACATCCTCAGACATCCCTGGGTCTGCCACTTATTGGCAGTGGGGATCAGGAGCGTGGCCTCACCTCTCTGAGCCTGCTTCCTCATCTGTAGAGGGAGTGATGATAATGGTACTTGTCTCAGAGGTTGAGACCCATCCCTGGGGGATGGGTCCTGACAACACTGAGGACAGAGGTCTTGAGGACACTGTTGAGTTTGGAGTCTGGCCCTTCTGCAGCCTCTCCCCTCCCCAACAGTAATTCTGGCACTGAATCTGGGGCCCTAGACCCCAGAGCTGGAGACTTCCTTACCCCATGCCTAATTTTGCAAATGATGCTCAGAGGGGAGAGACAAATGTCCTAAGCTCTCCATGGGCAGTATTGGAGGTTCAAGCTTGAAGCAGGGGCCTCCCAGCCAGCCCTTACCTCAAGAACTCTGTCCAGGATGCCCCCACCCCCCACCCCACAGGGCTGATAAGGAATCTTCTTCCTGGCAGGCCACTAGCTGGGGAATTGCTCTGGGCGGGGAGCCAGGCCCTGGGGCTGGGAATCCTGGCTGCCCCCAGAACCAGCATGAGCAGGGTTGCCTTCTGGACAGCAAGAGGCTCCCAAAGAAGGCAAGCCCACAGTTCAGGCCCATCCCTCCTCGTGAAGGAGAATAGCCTCACCACATGCAGAGCTGTTGCCGATCCAGTGGGGATAGAGAGCTCAGGGCTCAACTGTTCGTCGCCACCTTCAAGGGGAGTTGGCAAGAACCACATCCTGCAGTTTTCTAAGGAAAAAGATCCAGAGATTCTTGGAGCCAGAGCTGTGGTTGGCGGCACATCCCCTTGGCCTGGTCTTGACCCCAAACAAAAAGCCCTACCCCTCTCCCAGCTGACCCAAGGTCATTGGTCTAGGAGGCCCCAGAACACTAGCAGTGTGTGACAGTAGTGGGAATGTGCGGAGGCTGAGCCATTCCTATGCCCCTCTGTACCCAGCCTTTTCCCTGACACCCATGCCATGTTCCGGAGAGGAGCAGGCAGTGAGGGAGTAGGGGAAGGAGGGAAGGAAGGAAGGAAGGAAGGAAGGAAGGAAGGAAGGAAGGAAGGAAGGGAGGGAGGGAGGGAGGAAATGAGTCAGGCAGGCAGTCATCGTCTAATCCCTTACCCTTCTCTCCTCCTCCTCCTCCTCTTCCTTCTCCTCCTCCTCCTCCTCCTCCCCCTCATTTTTCTCCTCTTCTTTCTCTTATTCCTCCTCTTCCTTCCCTCCTCCTCCTCTAAGGAGCCAGGCTTGGAGATGGACAGATGGACAGCAAGAACCACATCCTGCACACATGTGCTTCTGTTACAGCCTGGGCATTGGCACTGACCTTCAAAAGAAGACTGTCATGGAAGACAAGCTCATTTGGAGAAATTAGCAAATCCAAAAAGTGTGACCAAAAACCTAAATTTCTTTTCTTGCTAAGAGAGAGTAAGACAGCCAGCTGATGGGGTCCATGTGTATATCATGCCTGATTTTGCAAATGATGCTCAGAGGGGAGCATCTTTCTCACCCTTGGCCACAATTCCATCCAGCATCTTCAGGGACAGACACCTGTGTTTGTTCTGGGCATTATGGAAACATGGGTGGGCGGGCAGAGGTTAGAATTTCACACACTAAGCAGGGTTTTCTATCACAGACTTAAGAGGTAGGTACCAGAATCCCCATTTTACAGATGCAGTTGAGCCCCTGGCCCAAGGTCACAGAACAAGTAGTTTCCATGTCTGCTGATGACTGAAAAGGAGGTTCCCCAAAGTCTGAGGGCTTGGCCCAGGGCCACTTAAAGACTCCAGCACTTGAGATCCGCCAAGCCTGCCTTATAAGCCCAAAGGCCGGGTGGCCGTCTCGGGTACTGGGCCGGGCCTTGTAGGGAGACAAAACCCTGCTGCCAAGCACTCGGCCCCAGGATGGCCTCCCCTGCCTGGCTAAATTTAGCGGCTCTGTGGTGCATGGAGGGGGCCGGTGCCCATCCTGGAGCCACTGCCCAGGTCTGGAGGCCAGCCTGAACCCTCAAGAGGGTGTGCACCAGGCTCCAGTTGCTCTCCTTAGCCACCCAGGTCCCAAGGGTCCCAACACCTTAGTCCAACTCTCATGCCGTCAGGCCTGCCTGGCTGTCCTGGGTCCCACAGTTCCAAGCAGCCTCTCAAACAGCACTGAGCAGGGACCTGGGGCAGCCTAACAGACTATCAAGGGGAGGCGGCAGGAAGGCAGTCATCTATGTGGAGGCCTGGGGCACAGCTGTGGTCCCCAGGGTGGCTTCTCCCCATTGTTGGGACTTGTACAGCTGCTCCCCTTACTATGTGTGGGCCATGACCAGGCTGGGAGCCATCTTGCCCAGTGTTCAAGGACCCTGTTTGTTCTCCATCCCTCAGGGCTGTTTCCCCTCGGGTCCCAGACTCTTCGAGTTGCTGAAAGAAAGGAGCCCCTGGGGCTGGCTGAGGTCTGTTCTCCACTTCACTCAGGAGTCTCCATCTCCTCCCCAGCTCCACTGGACGCCCCAGCACCCCCATGCGGGACACACACCAACCTGCCTCTCCAGCTCCTATCTTTTTATTTATTCATGCACTTTAAATCAAACTAGGTAGCAGTACAATTCACATATAATAAAATGGACCTATTTTTAGACACAAGGTTTGATGAGTTCTGACAAATGCGTGGAGCCCCCTCCCCCATCCCTGCAATCCATCATTTCTAGAAGGTTCCCTCCTGCCCCTTTGCAGTCAATTTCTCCCAAGCACCCAGGCCGAGGCAGTCACAGATCTGCTTTGTCACTGCAGATTTGTCCTGCCTTTTCTAGAACTTTGTAGAAGTGGGGTGGAATCACATAAGATGAGCTTTTTTTTTTTTTTGGCTTATATTTACTCAACAGTGATTTTAAGTTTCCTTCCTGTTGTTAAATCTATCAGTAATTTGTTTCCTTTTGCTGCTGAGGAGTACTCTGTTGTATGGACATATCACAGGTGAACTTTTGGGCCCTATAATGAGAAAAGATGTGACAGACACCCAAGCCAGGTCTTCATGGACACGTGTCTTCCTTTCTCTTCCCTGTGTCTGAGTTTCTCCCCCATTTCTCCTAACACAGCTCCAACATGGTCTCTCCCTCCACTGTGAGGGGTGGAGGACGGGGGGCCTGGGGAGCATGAAGTCCTGGTCTCTGGAGGGGCAGAGGAACCCACGGGCATTTTGGCAGCTGCCAGAGAGGAGTGTGCCAGGGCTTGCCCTGGAATTCCCTCCTGGGTGAGCAGCTGCGAGGTAAGGAAACCTCTCTGTTTACCTTGGCCGCCCCATCTTGGCCTGCGGACTCCATGCTGTGGGCCGGATAGAGCTGGACTTGAGCAGGCCTGGGTGGGGGTGGAGGCAATGTAGGCTTAGCTATGGAGCCCCAGAGGCTTCTGGGAAGGTTGTAGCTGGCACAACAAAAGTCCCCTCAGCCTGTCTTAGCCCCACACCCTGCCTGTCTGCCACAATGGTCAGGTCCTCAAAAGGCCTTGGGCAAGACATCGCCTTTCTGGGCCTTGGTTTCCTCAGAGATCAGATGGAGTCGTAACACCTCTTGGCTCATCTCACAGGCCTGCTGAAGACCCTGGGAGATGAGGAGTATGAAAAAGGTTTTGTGTCCGAGAGGTCTTATAGATGGCCCTTGTGGAAAGACTTCTTTCACCCATCCTGTCTCACTCCCTGGAAAAAAACCCTAGAAGCCCCTAAAGGCAGGTCTGTCTTTTCCAGTCATGGACATGCAGCCTCTGCAACTGCATTAGGCCTATGCTCAGAAACAGAAAGGTCTGGCACTTGGCGTAATATTCTGATGTCACTGTAATTCTTCATTTTTGAACAAGGAGACCCATGTTTGCATTTTGTGATGGGCCCTGCAAATTGTATAGTGGGTCCTGCCTCTGGTCTCATTGGCAGGGCCTGAGTGTCCTTCCCAGGTGAGCTGAGGATTAGATACCAAAACTTAGTGATATGTCCTCCCTCCAGATCAAAGAAACAACGGACATGGCTAGTCCCTTTTGAGAGCCTTGCCCCCAGAAAGGCAGGGCCACCTGGGCAGGTTAGGTCATCTCAAGCAGCCACAGAGGCCTCAGGGTCCTGTGATCTGAGGGAAGCCTTGGGGAGATGGGAGACCCATTTGAACAGGGCTTAGCACCATGGATGAATGGGATCCTAAGGATTGAAGGGAGGGAAACAGAGCAAAAGAGTCATGGGACTTTTCAGGGAGTGTCACAGACCTACAAAACTGCCAGGGATGGGGGAGCCTCTACGATGTGCAAGAGGCTCTCAATATTCAGGTTCCAGACCCAATCCTGCCTCAGGGCTTTGGTGACATGCTGGGAGTGACATGTAGATCATAACATTCTTAAAAGGCCTTTGAATGTGTTCA